GCCAATGCCTTAAATAAGTGCCTTCTGTTGCAAAGCAGGCATCTGGGTTATTTCAGGGCCTGCCTCCTCTCTCATACAGCGTACACCCCTAAAATACCCCAAACCAGTGTGGAATACAGCAACAGCTGATGCTAGAGAGGACGAGGTGCCCCCTCACTTATTTCAGCGCAGAGGCACGTGGGTGAGGTACACAGTCATCCCTAGCTGCTTAAAGAGCAATCCAAGCCTCCCTCGCTCTGCAAACCCCTCTCCCCTTCCCCCCTTGTGTCCTCAAGAAGCACAGATCACTGATTTTCGGTTCCTGCTCAGGATGTGGGCAGGGAAGCAGCGAGGCAGGCTGGTTTCCAGGCTGAGCCTGCCTCCTGCACTCCTCCAGGTACATGAGCCACATGCCAGGGCAAGCCAGAGGTGCATTGGCTGCATGGCCTTGGGGAGACGAGGGAGCTCCCCTAACACGAGGTGATGCTATCAGGCTGGATGAGGCCTCTGCAAGAGGGATGGGGATGGTGCCACAGGGAGCGTGGCATCACCCTGCACCCCAGCTCCCCCCCAGCAGCTGCTGCTCCCCTTGATGCACAGGTTCAGAAACAGAGGTAACAGCATTGCTGTAAGGGGGAACCAGGAACTGCAGAGTCCTCTGAGCTCCCCCCTTCCTCCATTCATTTGCCATTTGTGCTGCTGGGAGGTGACACTGGGCAGCCCTGTGAGGGTGCTGAGGCGCTCATAGAGAAGCTATGGCTGCCCCATCCCTGGCAGTGTTCAAGGCCAGGTTGGACACAGGGGCTTGGAGCAAGCTGCTCCAGTGGAAGGGGTCCCTGCCTGTGGCAGGGGTTGGAGCTGGAGGAGCTTTAAGGTCCCTCCCAACACACACTGGTCTGTGATTGTATCTCCCTTTATGGATAAGATGCTCTCACAGCGCTCCTCCTCCTAACACATGGGGCCTCCCATGCCCCTGCCCTCCCTTCTGCCCTTAAGGTGTGAGGAGGAAGGGTTGGCACAGCCAGCCCTCACCTGAGGAACAGGCACATATTCACCCCGGGGGGTGACAGGACTGTCCCATATGCCACCACAGCACTTGCCCACTGTAATCTCTCCTTGTGGTGCTGCTTTTCACTGGTGGCTGTCAGATGCTGGCCAGGGAAAGAGCCATGGGCTGGCCCCATGTTCTATGCTCAAAATGCTTCTGACTCCATTAACTCACCTGGGCTCCTGCCATCACCCATCACGGAGCTCAACACCCTGAGCCCCAAGAGCCAGGAGTGTTTCCTGCCTCAGTTTCCCCTGCCCACCAGGTGTCAGACGTGCACCCAGGGAGCACCCAGGAGCACAGGGTGCAGGTCCCCAGAGGCAGCTCCCCTCAAACAGCTTCTCTGGCGGACACTGGAGCACCATTCCCTGTGGAATGCCCTTCCCTGGAGTCACAGGGAATGGGACAGCTTTGAGCAGAGCAGGCACCAAGGGAGGGTCCGCCCGTCCGGAGCTGCTTCACACTGGTCAGGAAAGGCCAGAGCAGCTGAGAGCTATTCCAGGGGAGCCTAAAAATGCTGTGGCTGAGTGAGTGCTGAGGCCCTGCCTGCACCAGGCCATTGCACGAGTCCCATAGCAAACCCCTGCCTGCTGCTGCTGTGCCGAGCCAGGCAGCACGCTGCCAGCAGCCCCTTGGAGCAGGCAGGCAGGCAGAGCCAGGCACATGCGGAGGCACAGACACAGAGAAGCAGCCTGGCTTCCTGCGGCCCCGCCAGCCCAGACATGCACCAGGGTCAGGCCAGGCTGGGACAGCAGTTATCTGGCTCCCCATGCTACAGGCTGGGGCACTGCCAGCCCCAAGGCTCTTATTTCCACTCCACACAGCCCAGTGTAACTGCAAGGGACAGCTTCAAACCCATCTCTGCTGGAGGACACGGGTCCAAAGGCAGATCCACGCTGTCCTCTACCATGTACATAGAATCATAGAATAGTTAGGGTTGGAAAGGACCTCAAGATCATCAAGTTCCAACCCCCCTGCCATGGGCAGGGACACCTCACACTAAACCATATTACCCAAGGCTTCGTCCAACCTGGCCTTGAACACCGCCAGGGATGGAGCATTCACAACCTCCCTGGGCAACCCATTCCAGTGCCTCAGCACCCTAACATGAAAGAATTTCCTCCTTATATCCAATCTAAACTTCCCCTGTTTCAGTTTTAACCCATTACCCCTTGTCCTATCACTACAGTCCCTAATGAAGAGTCCATCCCCAGCATCCCTATAGGCCCCAAGTATACACCCCACTACTTGCTCTGCTGTGTCATCACTGGGATCAGCCATCCTGCCTGAAGACAGACATGGGACAAGCACTGCAAGTCCAGGACAGTAACTCCTGCCCCGTGAGCACTGCCCTTGGTTACAATCTCATGCACAGACATGCCCACCTTGTCCATAGCTGCACCCCTGCAATGGGAGCCAGAGGCTGGCAGGTCCCAGTGGCTGTGTCCACTTTGACACAGAAAGCAGAAGAGCACATACAGGTCAGTGACCAGGTACCTGGTACAATGCCCCAGATTGATTGCTGGTAGCTGGGACCAGGCTTTGCCCCATAATTGCACTGTAGGTTTGCAACACCAGACAGTAACCACAGTACAACACACCTCAGCTTTCAAGCACAGGACTCTAGAGTCCTAAAGGACACGTTTTCCCTCCAATTTATTACATCTCTGATAAGTCATATAATATCTTAGACTAACAGAATGATTTGGGTTGGACCTTAAAGCCCATCCAGCTCCAACCCCTGCCACCTTCCACTGGAGCAGCTTGCTCCAAGCCCCTGTGTCCAACCTGGCCTTGAACACTGCCAGGGATGGGGCAGCCACAGCTTCTCTGGGCACCCTCACAAGGAAGAGCTTCTGCCTAAGAGCTCAGCTCAGTCTCCCCTCTGGCAGGTTCAAGCCGTTCCCCTTGTCCCTTACATGTCCTTACAAGTCCTCCACTGCCGTTTCTCTCCTCACTGGCCTGGAGCTGTGCCAGCTCTGGAAGCCCTCAGCCAGCCGGGTCTGTCCCATCACACCCCTGGCACAGACAGGGACAGCTCCAGCACAGAGCCCAGCCCTGCCCCGGGCACCCATTCAAGTCTCAGGCTGGCAGAGTCTCTAACAGTGGCAGTTCACAGATAGCAGCACTGCACCGGGTGATACACAGAGCCTCAGGCCAGAAATTAACAGCTAAAAGACTAGGGCTGCCCATGAACTGGAAAACCAGCTGGGAACACCAGCTTAGGCTGTCTGTGGAATTCAGAGCCATGAAAGGGTGTAGCCATTAATGTGTTTCCCTTGCATCCTTCCACACTGACCCTAGTTGCCAAGGGGATAGCTCCCAAGGGCCACCTCACAAGACCTGACTATCACACTCTCCCAGGGCTGCCCAACCAACGAAAAGCACATCCACCCTTCCCACTCCTACATCCTGCTTGGCTTTTGCCACTGCTCAGCTTTACCAGCACAGAACCCACCACAACACCACAGCTCTCCCTTGGATCTTTAAATAGAATCATAGAATCGTTAGGGTTGGAAAGGACCTTAAGATCATCCAGTTCCAACCCCCCTGCCATGGGCAGGGACACCTCGCTCTAAACCATATTACCCAAGGCCTCGTCCAACCTGGCCTTGAACACTGCCAGGGATGGAGCATTCACAACCTCCCTGGGCAACCCATTCCAGTGCCTCAGCACCCTAACAGGAAAGAATTTCCTCCTTATATCCAATCTAAACTTCCCCTGTTTACGTTTTAACCCATTACCCCTTGTCCTGTCACTACAGTCCCTAATGAAGAGTCCACCCCCAGCATCCCTATATGCCCCCTTCAGATACTGCTAGAAACAAAAGCTGGGAGGTGGGTTTTTCAGTGCAGTTGCAGGTTTAAACCTCTCCAGAACACCACAATCATTCACAGCCTGCAGCTCCCACCACAGCTCAGTGGCCTGCAGCACCTTACATCCTCTGAGACTTTGCTACCCTGGCATTCACAGCTGGGCTCTCTGCCTGTGCTCAGCACCACATCCAAACCCAGGCAGGAAGGTTTCTCATTGCCCTCCCTGGCAGCTCACCTGCAGCTGCAGCCCCTGGGCTGTGAGCCAGGCACAGGGCTGTCTCCCTTCCCCAGGCCTGGGAGCAAGCAGTGCTCCTGCCACTTGCTGTGAGGATGAGCTCAGTCTCCCCTCAATGCTAAAGCTCTGCTTGCAAAACTGCTGAGCTAGCAGGAACTGCCACTTCAGGTTTACCCATTTCCTGTTAGGGGATAAACCAGCAGTGGAGGGCTGAGCTCCTGCCACCCTTGGCTTTTGCTATGGTTCAGTTACTGCTACAGCCACTGCCTTTGGCAGGTGAACACTGGCCCGTCTTGATTTCAACAGAAGCCAGAGCACAGCATGAATTATTTGTGGTGAGCTGACCTATTTACCAGCAGAAAGACAGCATTCATTCCAGCCCAGAGTCCCCAGAGGCTGCTGGTGTCACTTTATCCCACAGGATAACACAACCCCACTGCTACCTCTGGGTATCTCGCCTCATGGGGTAACTTGTCCTAGGCTGCCATGTCTCTTGGAGGACAAGCAACAGCTCCACAGCCCTTTCAGTGCAACCTGCTCCTGGCCTGCAAGTGGGTTCTGCTGACCAGCTCTGATCAGTGTTTTGTGTCCATCAAAGCCAACACACATAGAAAGCAGAGCAGAGTGAGCCCACAAGGCCTTGAAACACTGCTGGCAGCTCAGTTTCAGGCAGAGCAGGCTCAGAGCATGCGAGCAGTGTTTGCAGAGTGGCTGCCAAGTTCTGCAGCTACTCAGGATGCTTCTCTGCACAGCTCCTTCTAAGCTATTCTCATCTCTAATACTGGCTCCCATCCTCTGTGCACAGTCCTAGGCAGCCTGTGAAGGGGTACTGCACATCGAGAAGATGCTGAAATCTTGGCACCTCATTTCTGTTGAGCATCTCACAATCACAGATCCCCACCACATCGCTGTGGACCTTACCTTTGTCTGCCAGAGACAGCGTGCTGTTAAAGTACTGCTCCTCCACAGTCCATGCTGTGTCATTGATCTTGTTAGATACCCCACAGGATCCAATGCAGCTCACCTTGATGGCTGTGGAGAAAAAGCACACCCGTAAGCTCTGGGAGAAAGCAAAACCTCGGGTTCAGACTTGCTTCAGGTAGTTGTGCAGGAGGAGGGCCTCATGAAACACACACAAGGTGCAAACACAGAGCAAAGGAATTGGGTCATGTTTTCATTCCATTTCAGTAGCATGTTTTCCCTTTACTCTCAACACTATTGCATGCTCCCTGCTACTCCAGTGCTATTCCCAGATATTATCACCTTAAGTCCTGGCCTCCTTGCACTGTGAAACCCTTAGCAGCAGTGATTCCAGCTCTCCAAGAGATAACCCTCTCTCTAGTTTGCTCCCAGATGAAGCAACATGCACGTCAGCCTCAGCACTCAGGCTCACAGCAAAGACTTTGAGTGGCTTCTTCCTCCTGTTAAGAGACTCAGGACTCACAGCAAAGCCACACAGCAAGGTCTGGAAGCACCTGAGATGCCATCTGATGGTCCCAAAGCAAGGAGGGTAAATTTGAGCTATGTTTGTGCCTTGCCTTGGGAAAGCCACCCCAGAGCCCACCCTGCAGAATGCCTTTCAGAAGAGGTACCCACTGTACCTTTTCAGTTAGTCTTGGCCAATTCACAGCAGGTTGAAATCATGCTCTGATGTTAACAATGGACCACAGAGACAAATGGGATGGCCTGGCCTTGCTTCACAGCAGATGATGCACAGCTTGCCCCCATACAGGGGGGATGCAGACAGACCGGTCACAGCACAAACCAGGCCTTCAGCTTTGTCCCAGCTGGACGTCTCCTGTCCTGATTGCCACCAGGTTCTGCAGCAGCTTCAATGGATCCCACAGAACTCCCTCACTGGATGTGCTGTGTGACTGCTCCTGCTGGCAGGAACTGCCAGACAGACTCTTCTCCTGTTTCACCCATCTGCTCCCCTCTATCCAAGCCGTGTCTCACAGGAAGCATCTCCCCGGGAGGCAGGAGGCCAATTCATGTTGGCTTCAGAGCTCTCCCCTTCCCCACACCTCCTCAGCCATGCGCCTCCCCAGACACCAAGGGCTGTGTGATGCTGCACACAACCACCTCAATAGCTCTCTAGAGCTCCTGCCTGGCTGGTACGACCTTGTTCCCCACACTGACTGAGGACAGGGTGGAAAGAAACCCAAACCCAGGCTTCTCTGCAGGGGGAATGGATAGTTCTTACCCCAGTGCCCTACTGGTGCTTTGCTGCATGCATTCAGGTGAAACAGGCTCCTCATCCCACAAAGAACAGCCTCCCCCTATCAGATCTCCTACTGTACCTTCCCAGCCTGATCATGACTGAACACCAGAGCCTGTTGCAGTCAAAGCGCTGTCTTATACTCAAGGGCAATGGATAAACAGCTCCAGATGCCAACTCTCATTAACACACAGCAACAGAGCAGCAACGCTGACTCAGCAGCTCTCCTGTGTGCGTCTGGGATGTGCATTGCCACTTCCAAGGCACTTCCAGGGGAGCACGGCCTCCAACTGGAGCTGCCCACATCACAGCATGTGGTCTGAGCAGACACCGGTCCCCTCTGGAAGCAAACCATCACCCCAAACCCCCCTGCAGGTCTGGGACATCCAACCCTCTCTTTTGCCAGATGGCAGAGCCAAAACCACGCAGGGCCTTCAGCACCAGAAGGAGCAGGGAATGGTACCCACACACTGGTACCAGATCACGTGTTCCCACCTCAGACACACTGCCGCATCTCTGCATTCACAACAAGCCTGTCCCACTTCAACTAAGCCCAGAACTTGGGTGGCTTAAGTCAAATCAAGCCCAGACTCAACTGCTCCACTCCCACATTTTCACACAGGAGATGAGAGCAAGAAAAACCCAACCAAGAACTGGAGAACATCCACAGAACATTCACATCCTTCAGGAGCAACAGGCTCCCCCTCAGGCTCCCTTCACCACAGGAGTTTATAGATCACCACCATCTGTTGCAACGCCCAGATACGGGGATGATGGTCTTGAATGTGAGCTTGCTGCATTGCGGTGCTGAGGCATTCCTGCTCCTGGGAGGCAGGTGGGAGGAATGTTCAGGCACATACATGTTAGAGACCATCTCCCTTCCCACAGCAGACATACTCAGCCAGCAAAGGCAGTGGGTTTGCAGTGGGACGTGCAGAGCCAGCCTTTGCCTGGTGGTCCCTGCTGCGATGGTGGAACCCCTGTAACCAGCATCAGGGCTGCACTTAACTGTGTCTCAAGGTCTCACTGCGTGTAGCAAGGAGTTGTCCATCCCAGGCACAGGAGCTGTCAGCTCCAGAGCTGCTCAGCTACCAGCATCCCAAACTGGTGTGGTCGCAGCCAGCCTGTGCCTATGGAAGAGGGACAGGTCCTGGAGGGAGAAGAGGTCTGGGGCTCTTGGGGGTCCCAGTCCTGACACCCTCTCCAGTGGCATTCCTGACCATCACAGACCCTGGGACTGCCAGTCCAGATGCATGAGGACAAGCAAAGAGCCAGACAGCAACATCACAAGCTGAAAAGCTTGAAGGCAGTTTCACACTAATGGAGAAACCCTCCCCTTTATGCTCTCCAGAGCTGCCAGTGTAGTGTTACCAGGCACACCAAGGTACAGGGCAAGCCTCAGAGCAGTTCAGGTGGCAGAGGATTTGCTATGGAGCATCTTCTCCAATCTATTTCAGAAACATGAGCTTCCTGCACTTCACTGGGGGAGAAATGGGGTGGACAACATATGCATTGCCCCATAGCTGAGAGAGGGGCTGTGGCTGGATACAGGGATCACCCCACAGGCTCCTGGAGGAGGCAGCAGATCCCCAGCTCTCCCCAGGGTGGGCAAAGCAGGGGGACAGCAGATCCAGAGCAGCCCAAGAGCCCCCCCATTTCATCGCCACAACCACAGAGCAAGGCAAGCAGGAAAGCCTGGCAGCTCCAGGGCTCTTGGTCCTCCAGGTTATCTTGAGAGGTGCCAGGTTGCACAGGTCAGAGCAGCAGCTCTGCTCTGGAGCCAGGCTGAGAGAGCTGGGCTGGGTCAGCCTGCAGAAGAGAAGGCTCCTGAAGGGGAGACCTTAGAGCAGCTCCACTGCCTAAAGGGGCTGCAGGAAAGCTGGAGAGGGGCTTGGGACAAGGGCCTGTAGGGACAGGCCAAGGGGAATGGCTTGAACCTGCCCGAGGGGAGACTGAGCTGAGCTCTTAGGCAGAAGCTCTTCCCTGTGAGGGTGCTGAGGCGCTGGCACAGGGTGCCCAGAGAAGCTGTGGCTGCCCCATCCCTGGCAGTGTTCAAGGCCAGGTTGGACACAGGGGCTTGGAGCAAGCTGCTCCAGTGGAAGGGGTCCCTGCCCGTGGCAGGGGTTGGAGCTGGAGGAGCTTTAAGGTCCCTTCCAACACAAACCAGGCTGGGGTTCTGTGATTTCTCTTACCTCTAACCAGGTGTTGGAGCAGCCTCACCATGAAATCCACAAGCATCCAACGGGCAGAGGAAGATACTGGGGACTCTCCCAAAGGCTCCTGTGCAGAGGCAGGAGGAGGGATCGGGGCAGTTGATGGCCACAGCTCAGGCAGGTGGAGCTGGGTCAGCTGCAAGCTAAAAACAGTGTCAGTGGGACAGCTCTGGGAAACCAGCACCACCAGAGCTGCCACTGGAGCCACCTGAGGGGCAAAGCTTCTCAGCACCAATGTCAGGAAGCAGAATGCACAGCCTGAGCCTTCCCAAGGAAACCTCTGTGCCAAGCTGCAGACAAAGCAAATGAGAAGTTTCTACATCCAAACAGGCCCGTTCCAGTTAAAAGGAACCCATAAACGCCTCTGGAATCCAGTGCTACCAGTGCCCAGGTTACCACGCTCCTGCTCCCTGTGTACCCAGGCTGCTCTGAATAAATACAGAGAAGGGAAGGGGAGGGAGGAGGCAAAGAGCAGCAAGCAGAGAAGAAATTATGAAGCCCTGCAGAAGGCAAGAGCCTTCTCCCCTGCAGTCCCGCAGGGATTTGGGAAGTGGGCAGCTTCACATCCAGCCAGATACATCCTTAGCAACGTACTACGTGCCATATGCTGGAAAGAAAAGGAGACAGTTGAGACCCATCCATCTCTGCACAAAGTAAAAATAGAGATGCCAGGAGCTGGGCACGTCTGCCGCCTTCCAAAGTGATTTGAGAAGAGCAGTCTTAGACCTCAAGTTACTGTTGCTGGTGACCCAGTGAGCTGGCCTCCTCGGGAGAGCTGGTATTGCAGCTGCTGGATGTGCACATCCCTGCTTCCAACACCCAGCCGTGTGCTGAGCAAGCAGAGTCCCACCAGCACAGTGAATGGGGCAGCAGGGCCAGCCCCGTCCAGCTTCAAGTCCCATCTACATCACACCCCCATTGCAGCAGGGACAGGCAACAGGCAGGGCAAGAGGGAAGGAGGCACCAACAGCCTGGTTGGTGGGGGGGCTCTGGGGTGGGGAGGGGAGCAGCAGAAGTGGTGGCTGTTGCACTGAGCAGCAGTTTACACAGGGCAAACGGACCAACCTGGCATTGTGGTGTGAGGCAGGGGGCTGGAACTGGATGATGTGAAGGTCCTTTCCAACCCAAACCATTGCCCTTCCACTGCAAGGACAGCCAAAGAGCTGGTGCTGAGCTCTGGACCAGCACCTGCAGCCAGCCCTGGGGCTTCACAAGCTGAAGCCCACTCGTATGTGGCCTCAGCCATGTCTGTTGGACACGGAGGCTCCAGGACCACAAGCGTGGGACGAGAGGGATGGCACAAAGCCACCCTCTGCCTGTGCCGTGACCTCCCACAGGACAGGGATGTGTATTCCCAATGGGCTCAGAGGTACCTGCAGACCTGAGAGGTGCTGTGGAAAACCTGTGCTCACCTGGAGCAGATAATGAGGGAGCACAGGGGGAGGAAGTGCTGGGGAGACAAGTGACTGCGCATCAGAGACTTGGTTCATAGAAACCAGCCACAGGAAGCCAGAGCCCCCCTTCCTCCTCCCTGTCCATCAGAGCTGGGGCAGGCAGGATCACCACATTGTAATTAGATTGCCTCAAGCTGCTGTGTGTAT